GGCAGTAAAAAGAGAACAAAGAACGAGGCGGGGGGAGGAAAGGAGGGGAGAAAAAAAAGGAAATGGCATCTGGCATTTGAGGCATGGGGGAGGAAGAATAAGGAGGAAAATTATTTGTTTGAAAATTCAAAGGGGGAGCACAGCCACTGTTGTATACTGAATATAAAGATTTATTCATAACCCATTAGCAATCAATTGACCTTTCACAGAATTTGCAGCACTGTAATCACTGTTCCCTCCCGTTCGGTACCCTGCTCTTCTTATGAGTGTGTCCATCCCCTCCATCCCCCCCCCTTACTACCCTACAAGATCAGATACCATATGCTAGTTTTATAGGGAAAGCCCTGGCCTCCTTAACCTCTGTCAGATCACTGAAGTCAGATTTTTTGATGTGTGTCAGAAAATTGGATAACCCAGGTTTTAGGTATTTACCCGCAACAATCTTCCCCTGTATTGAGAACAAACTCGGAATTATAATTGGCATCATGGAATATATTTGGAGCCTTTCTAATATAAGGGTTACAGAGGTTAGAAAGCACTTCTGCCTAGTGAATATTATCTGTAAGTGAGGATACTGACGCAGCAGCTATCAAAATCGGAGAAATGTGTGGATGTGCCCAGAAAGATCAATGACTGTCAGAGGTTCACAGGCACCAAATGGCTGGTGCTGGATTCCGAAGGAGCGCCGGCTGTCTCGGCTGCGGGATGCGCGTGTTGGAGAGCGGTGTCTGGAAGGAATCAAGGGATTGAAGAGCAAAGATGAAGTAAAGGTGGCTAGTACAAAGCAGGGAAAGGGAGGAGGGCTGTTGCTGAATTTTGTTAGTCATTTCGTTCATGTGATCTTATTTGAAAGGTCTGTCGTATGAAACAAAGCAGCAGAAGAGTGATTAGCCTGGCCAAACGAGAGGTCCGTTAGCCCTTTTTTCTTTGGGGTTTAATTCTTGATGGACGTTTTTCAGCTATCGCTAATTGAAGTGTTCACTGAAGAGGTGTCTCTTCACTAAGCACTGTAAATTAACCGATGAACTGTGTGCTTGCCCGGAACAGCAAATCTTGGTGTGCAGCATACCTCTGTGGAAGAAGGGAAGCCGAGATGTGTGTTCCTTTCTTCTGCCTACAAAGGCTCATTGCCATCTGCAGACTGCAGCGTGCTGCAAAGACACCCGAGCTGGTTGTAACCCAGCTGTGTGTGCGACTGTGGCAGCGTGGACGCTCAGCGTGGTTTGTAACACCGGCCCATTTCCAGGAGGGAGCTGATGTCTTCAGGCTGCTACCAACATTGATTTTTTTAAAGCTGGGGTGGAGTGTTGAGTTATGGACTGCAGTCCCTGGCTCTGCAGTCCTGCATGCTTTAACTGGGGGGGCAGGGAGTCCTGATTAAAAAAAAAAAAAAAGTAGTATAATACCTTTAAATGTTTTCTTTAGGTGCACGGATGCATGTGGACTCATGCAGTTGAATACATATGCACCATATATTACACAACAGTGAACTTTGTTGCTGAGGCCAACATAAGTGGATGAAGTCTTTTATAAAATAACTTTCTTGTGTCTTAGTCTTGTACTCATTAAATTCTTAATTGCTTTTGAGTCCTTCAGATGACTGAGTAGTAGGCTCTTTAATATTGTTGGGAAAACCTTACTACAAATGTTGTATTGTTACAATTCCACTTTAAAAGGTGGTAAATGTCACCATGGCTTTTGGATTGATACGAATTTAATATTAGAAATCGCTTCGGTGGCTGTATTACAGAACTCTTATTCAGCAAATGCTTTAACTTAGCGTGGCACTTAACAGTTGAAAAGCATTAGTTCTGATAACCCTAATTTGCTAGGAAAAATGTAGTCTCTTTATGGATTTCAGTGGCAGAAAAATAAACAATAGCCATAACTTTAACCCAGGAAAGAAGTGCCTACGCAACACAACTGCTTTGCCGGCTGAACAGACAGAACAATGACCGCCTAGGTGGGATGCCTTTATGTATTTTCTCAAATCTTAAGAGCTGCACATATACAATTCAACAGCACGGTCAAAACGAACACAGTGGTGACTGCATACCCAAACGTCTGTCACCTGTTATGTCTGAGTATGCTCTGAATACAGCTGCTTTTTACAGATTTCTGTTGAAGATTTAAACTTTAAATAAACAGAGAAGAGCAGCATATGCAAACAGAATCTGCCAGGGCAAATGTGTCCATTTAAGGTTTTTTTGGTGGGTTTTGTTTGGTTGGGTTTTGTTGTGGGTTTTGTTTTGTTTTTTCTTTACATACTTATGCTGTAGTTTCATTCTTTTCCAAGAGTAATTTTTGACTAAGTGGCTGGGGGTGGTTCTGTAAAAATTGAAGAAAGCAGTACCTTAACTTTTCCAACTGTGTGCGTCATTAATTTTGTTTCAGTTAAATTAAAGTGCTTCCTGTAGCCTCTTTATTTGCATTTTTTTAGTCCCGTTAGGTTAAACTCCAGATACAGAATATTCAAAAAGGTGTGCGGGGGGAGGCCGAGGTGGGTTAAATGTAGGAATAGTTGCTTATTTGTCTCAGACTTCAAAAATGTATTTTCTATGAAGTCTTTGTCTAGTTTGTGCTGATTTAAAGCATGTGCTCGTGTTAGTACATTGGAGAGCATTTATGCAAGGAGTTCCACTGAAGCAATTCCTTTCAGGGGGCTAGTCACAGTGAAAACCGTGGCATTGGGCTTTGGGGGGAGAGCCTGGTAACGTACGGTAAGTGAGAAAGCTAAGCAAAACGCTTCCGTTGGGGGAAGCTGTAGGGCCGGGACAGTCGATACGGGTCGCTTGCAGGCTCATGCAATTAATCTTTGATTCACAAGAAATCAAAGTGTTTTCCCAGTCGTGCGGTTTGGAAGCTGACCTTGCATGCCAAGGAACAGGCGTGATAATTGCATGAGTGGTTCAGTTGCTTCTGAACCTCTGCTGGTAGGTAACGCTTTTCACGGAAGTTTTCTATTTTGTGTCTTCTCTGAAGAACTTCCTAAAACAGCCACGTGTCCTCGGACACTGCAGAAACTTGACCCTACCTGGCACCGCGCAGGCAAACTCTTGGCCACTTATCAGTAAATGTTGCAGGGCAAAGTTCTGCTGGTTGTGTTGGCAGTACGGCAGAGGAGGAAAAATAAGTTACTAAAAGGAAAAACTGCCCTTGATTTAAAAAATAAAAACACATTTAAAAAACCCCACCTTTGTCATAACCCAATACAGTGCCCCAAGGTAGTTGCGTTTTGGGGTACTGGAGTACCATACTCGATCTCCGGGTGCTGGGCTGGGGGGAAAGGGGTTTTGGCTTCCTCCTTTCTAGCAGAACGGATTGGGCTGATGCCTCAAGGGCTCCTGTGTTAGCTAAGTATGATCTCAAAATATTTTGAGCTCTGTAGCCAAGAAGGATCATCAATGGTTCAAAGTGCAGGACGAAGAATAAGAGAATGTGGCTTTGAAATAATTAAAAAAAAAAAATAGAAGTTAGACTGGCTGGTCTCAAGTCTCATATGCCTCCATTTTTCTGTTGTGTTTTGGTTTTTTTTTTTTTAAATGGATACATTTACTTTAATGTGGATGTTTTCAAATATAACTGACAACTTGGTATCAAAACGCTCTTCTTTTAATGCTTAAAATACATCTCAGTTTATTGGTGTTGCAGTTTGTCTGTGTTAAATGTGGAAAATGAGTGAACATCTGCAGTCTGTTGAGGAGAGGGAACACAGAAATCTGAGCTCCAAGTACAAAAGTACAAGAGTGCAGACTAGAAGAGAAGCATTGCAGCTGTGGCAGGGTACCTGGTGGCAAGACCTCACTTGGTAAAAGTGCGCTGCAAAGCTGAAGGGAGATTGTCGCTGAATGTCTTGTAAGAGCAGCGAGCCTTCTGTTTCTTTGCTACTTTAAAAAGAAATGCAGTTGAATACAATTAACTTCATTAGACCAGGCCTGATTTTAATGTAATAATAAAACTACCTATTTCATAGAATTATTTTGGATGAAGTATTATAGTTGTCTACAGTTTTTATTCCTAAACTTTTAATTTTAAAAAAAAAAAAAAAGTCTCTCTGTTGGAAATACTGACCTGAAATTACCTTTCTTTTTTTTTTTTTTTTTTTTTAAAATTTTTTTTTTCTAGTTGTGGGGAATTTTTTTTTTTTTTTTTTTTTTTTCTTTCCTCCTTTCCTCCCTAACCCGGATATGGGTAAACACACGCCTGGCGGAGCCGCGCTGGCCCAGCATGGCATGGGCGAGCGCGGCAGGCAGCGCCCGCCGCCCA